AACTTTCTCCCCACCTTCTCCAGCCCTGAAACCTGCCAAGATTTCTCATCTCCCCACAGCCTCCTCACCACAGCTCCCACACTGCTCTGGGTAAGTGGCCAGACTCTTCGCCTTGGCATGGAGTATGAGATGTGAGGCTGGGACTTTCCATAAGGACCAGCCAAAGAGACAGAATGAGGACTGTGGCCTGGAGGCCTTAAGGAAATTCGTGTTTAGGGTGGTATCGTCAATTTCTTCACTCTAGTATGATTTGAGGCTTGTTATTCGTGGCTTTTCTATGCTTGTTTCTGAGCATCAGACATTTCTTTAACTTTCCCAGAAATGGCTCTTGGGTACATATTTCATTCCTGGAGTTCTGTGCTGGGAATTGGCAATACTAATGGGATTAGCATTAGTGATTTTGTTCAGACAGGCCTTACCGAGGAAGTAAGTAACAGACTCAGGAAGTTTCCTTTCTATGTGGGGTCCTGATTTCCCCATCCAGAGAAAGAAGGATCTCAGGCTGATCCTGAGAACTAGAACCCAAGGTAAAAGGTTATAGTCTTCTTGGGTTTTTTCTGAGCATGTGTCTTGTCTGGACCTGCATATGGCTTTTTCAGTTCTTCCACTTATACAGCTACTTTTGAATGTCTTAATTTCCCCAAGAGTCTCACCCTAGTTTCTGCTTAGGACTTTAGATTGTCTTTTATGGGTGTGAAGTGAAGTGAAAGTTGCTCATTCTTGTCCGACTCTTTGCGACCCCGTGGACTATACAGTCCATGGAATTCTCCAGGCCAGAATACTGGAGTGGGTAGCCATTCCCTTCTCCAGGGGACCTTCCCAACCCAGGGATTGAACCCAGGTTGCAGGTGGATTCTTTACCAGCTGAGCCACCTGGGAAGTCCTTTATGGGTATTTACTCATAATTTAATTTGGCCCGCCAGGCTCATCTGTCCTTGGAATTCTCCAGGCAAGAATACTGGAGTGGGTTGCCATTTCCTCCTCCAGGGGATCTTCCTGACCCAGGGATAGAACATATCCCCTATGTCTCCTTCATTGGCTGGAGGATTCTTTACCACTGATGCACCTGGGAAGTCCCACAAAAGAACACATACAGTATAATTCCACCTATATGAAATGTCCAGAATAAGCACATCTATGAAGAGAGAAAGATTAATAGTTCCCAGGTTCTGAGAGAGGAAGGAATAAGGAGTCACTGCTAATGGATTCTCTATGCTTCTTTGGGGGTGATGAACATATTCTGGAATTATGTAATGAGAATAGCTGCACATCCTTTAGTGATTTTTATACTAAAATCCCCACTGAACTGCACATGTTAAAAAAGTGAATTTTATGGTATGTGAACATATTTCAATGTTTTTAAAAAGGAGGAAGGAAAGAAACGACTGAGGGGGAATTTGGTCACTGCAGTACAGAGACTCCAGAAGGCAGAGATGGAAAAGTTGAGGAGGGAGGGGAAACATGAGAGTCTGTGTCCGGGTGGAGAAAAAGCAGGGGACACTTGGGCAGTGATGGGGTGCCAGGCACAGAGGCCTGGAGGAGGTAGAGGAGGGTAAAGCATTCTAGGAGCACTGGTTCAGTAGATCTGGGTACCTAGAGAAACCACGATACCTCAGGAAGCCAACGGTGTGGCCTGGTTGATGGTGCTGGGAGGTGGTCGTCAGCCCAGGTGCCTGAAGGAAGAGAAGGCAGCTTCAGGGGTGGGCACTGAGGGGGCTGGAGTTCAAAAAGACAAGTCTTGTGAATTCCCCAAGGAAAGGATCAGATTCAAAAACACCAGGAACCTCTGCATTCTGTCAGATCTCTCTGTACAAAAATAAGCCAGAGAAAGTTAGATAAATAAGCAATGGGGATTCAGGGCCTAAGGCCAGCCCGAGAGGTTACTTTCCCACTGATATTTATAGGGAGTTAAGAGCTATTGAGTGAACATGAGGACCATCAGAAACAAAAGTGGCAAGTTTGTCAGGCATTCAAACAAGAATGTATGTAGCATCTAGACCCACCAAGGGCTGCCTTGGAAAACTAGACACAGACTAGGCATTGCCTCTGAGACACTGGTAGGCTGGGGGTGGGCAGACTATAAGCTAATTACTAAGTATAAATAGCTACAAAATAATTTTACTAACATATAAGAACAGTAGGGAGAGGAATAAATTGCTCTGATTCTGTATAGCAGCAATCTAATGGAGTCTGAGAATCAGAGGAAGTTTCTTTCAGGAAATGACACTTCTGGATCCCCCAAGGGGGAATGGGAAGGGGCAGGGTAGTACTGGAAGGCCCTGGGGCAGGAAGGAGTTTGAAGGACTGGCAGAGAGTAGAAAGAGGTGGCTAGAGAGGCAGGAAGATCCAGATTTTCAGGGCATTGTGGGATACCTGGAAGATTTCAGGCTTTATTCTAAGAACAAAGGGACTAGAGAGGAACAGGTCAGGGCACAGCGGAGCCAAAAGAGGTGTCAGGAGAGGGAATGGTTAAGGAGCATGGAGTCTAGAATCAGAAAGCGAGGATTCAAATCTCAGGTTGGCCACCTACTACCCATGTAACTCGGGTGCAGGTTCTCTAGCTAAATCTCTCTGTGCCTCACTCTCCCCCTCTGTACAATGGGATCATAATAGTACCTACTTCATGAGGATTATGGGGCTTCCCAGATGGTGCTAGTGGTAAAGAACCCCCCTGCCAATATAGGAGATAAAAGAGATCTAGGTTTGATGCTTGGGTCCAGAAGATCCCCTGAAGGAGAGCATGGCAACCCACTCCAGTAGTTCTTGCCTGGAGAATCCCATGGACAGAGGAACCTGGTGGGCTACAGTCCGCGGGGTCTCAAAGAGCCAGACATGACTGAAGCGACTTAGCACAGCACATATGAGGATCACAGTATGGAATAAAATACATATCATCATGAGAACTCAGTGCTAACAGCCTGGTGCTCACTGAATAAGGAGGAGTTGCTGACTCAAGTAGTCTCCCCAGGAGCAATCCTGCCCCGTGGACTCACTCCCACCTCCAGACAGCCATTCATCCTTACTGGGGTTAAAGGCTGCTGACACCCAGGAGAGCTCTGGCTTCTCTAGTCACTGTCACTCTGAAGGTTGGAGCCTCTTGATCTTGGGTGGTCATCTGGCACTACCATCCTCTGACTTGAGCTGTCCTGTGAGCTCCATGAGAGCAGGGACCTTGCTCAGACTCTGCCCCACAGCCACAGGGCTAGGCACATAGGAGGTGCTCACACCTGCTGGTGACACAGACTGGGAATGAATGGATGAAGAGATGGATGGGTCTATGGAAGAAGATTTACACTATCCGTTAATTATTGAGCATTCCCTATGTGCCAGACTCCTTACTGAGTGCCTTATATAATTCATTTCATTTTATTCTCACAACCATCTTATGCGGAAGCTACTCAGAGACACTCTCCAGTAGGCGACGCTTTGGGAAGGATCTGTGGGGGAGCCCGAGTAATGCTTCAGAGAGCCTAATCACTGAGAAATGTGTTTAGTTTATAGCCCCAAAGAAGGGCTTTTTGCTGGAAGTTGGATCCTGGAAGTAGGAGTTCAACCAGAAAGCAAGCTCAGCTAAAAATGATTTCTTCAAAGATCGAGCTGTGTAGACTGCTGAGCCACGGTCTCACCTTCCTTAGACAGGCACAGGGAATAGGAGATCATACTTGTTTTTGAAAAGAGGTACTGCATCCTAGGTGGCGCTAGTGGTAAAGAATCTGCCTCAAATGCAGGAGACCTAAGAGGCACAGGTTTGATCCCTAGGTTGGGAAGAACCTCTGAAGGAGGACATGGCAACCCACACCAGCATTCTTGCCGGTAGAATCCCACAGACAGAGGAGCCTGGTGGGCTACAGCCCATGGGGTCGCAAAGAGTCGGACACGACTGAAGCGACAGCACACAGACACACATCCTAGAGCGGCATCGGCCCCCCAGCCATGTGGTTTAGCTCAGAGCGGAGCCCAGAAGGCCTTGGTCCCCCACGGCCCTCCCAAGGTGTGAGAACTGCCTTGGATCTTTCCCCTGCCCCGCTCTGGTTCCAATCAGAGCCCCGCACACTCCAGCCTGCCGGCCTGTTCCCCAAGGGAATGCAGACTGCCCTGGGGTCCCTGCTGAGCTGTTCAGTGCAGCTCAACCCCAAGCCCCGCCCCCCCCACCCGCGCTCCCAGGACAGCGCTGTGCATGCCACCCCCATCTTGGGCAGCTCTGCAGGCCGTCTTCTCCAGGGACTATTATTTTGGGAGAGTGCTGAGTTCAGCACCGCCACAAGGTATAGCTGGACGCGCCCTGATGTCCTCAGCTGGCCCTTTGGAGCTGTCCTGCGGGCCAGGCAGCCCCACCCACTGGAGCAGCGGCCCTTCCTACACAAGGTCACCACGTTCAACCATGACCCCCACCCCACAGCCCTGAGGCCATCTAGACAGGCGGCAGAGGAGCTGCGGGCAGGAGAAGCAGAGCTGTGCCGGGGGCACCGCCCAGCCTCACTCCTGCTCCCAGAAAACCCAGCAAAGGCAGGCTCTCAGGAGCACCCCCAGGATCCAAACCCTGGGGCCACCAGCCTCCCAGGCATTTGCCTTAAAGCCAGAGGGGCAGGCTGGCCCTCAGCCAGCTGACTGCACTCGGGGAAACTCAGGGTAGGAGGTGTGTCCAGGACGAGGTCGGCCGTGCGAGAGGCTTAGATGAGCCCTCCCGCTCTGCCGTCTGCTCCGTGCCCCAGGCAGCAGCAGGAACGAGCCACAGCACAGCTCTGCATAGACGGAGGAGGGGCCTAGGCCACGACTGTAAACTGAATCCAGCTGGGAGGAGGCCCAGGGCCGCCCAAGGGACTTGTGTCCAGGTGGCGGATTAGCTGCCGGGAGCCCAGGCTGTGCCCGCCCTTCTCCCTGCCGAGCAGAGGGCTCTCTCCCCACCAGGTGGGCCCCCTGGGGCAGAGGCTGTGGGTGGGAAGGGCACCCCCCTGCAGAGGGCCCGGCAGCTCTGAAGACTCCTTCCTTTCCAGGTGCCCATGGGCTGGACCATGAGGCTGGCCACAGCAGCCCTGCTCCTGGGCCTCGCGGCAGTGGTCACTGGAGAGGAGGAGGAGAATGACTTGTGCATGTACGAGGCCCTGCCTGACAACGACGCTGTCCTTTGCAAGTAAGGCTGGGTGCAAAGGGAGGGGGTCTCTGGGAGTCAGGGACCACTGGCTCCCACGGCAGAGTCTGTGGACAGGAGACTTGGACTGAGATCGAGGAGAGAACTGTGAGATAGGCCTCTGCCATCAGTCAGAGGGTGGTCCTCCCAACACCAGGGGGGTACCCGGATCTGGCCGCCTCCCCTGGGGCCTCCAAACCTGAGGGGCTGGCCTCACCCTCCCTGCTGGGACCCCAAGAGAGACCATCCCTCCCCTACAGCCTGGAACGCTCCCTTCCCCCCAACAAAGTGGCACTTTCAAGAAAAGTGGTATTTGACAGAGGCTGTGTAACTAGACTCTCCCTGTGTGAGAGGTGGTTGGTTGTTTTTCTCAAACAAAGTCCCAGAAGTGTCAGGACAGGCCGGAGTGGGGCCACTGGACATTGTCCAGAGAAAAGGCTGGGCGTCAGAGGCTGGCTCTGTCTCTTCCAAGGGCACAAGCTTCTCCCCCTCTGTGTCGGAGTCCAGCTCGCTCCTCACCCACCGTGGGTCAGAACCGGTCTTCATCACCCTGGACTCACGGGCCATCCCAGGGGCTGCCCAGGCCACGTTGCCCCCATCACCCTCTGCCAACCTGGTGGCTGAGGACGCTGGCGTCACACTGAGGCCATCAGAAGTAAGAGCGGGAGCAAGGGCTCGCCCTTCTTACTCCGTCTCCTGGAGTACATTCGAATTCTTACAAACATTAATGTTACTTTTAGAGAGATAAATATGTTTTTTCCTTAAAATGTTAGGCAGCTGAATTCCGCCACCTCCCCCTCCCCGAAAATGGCGCAGATTTTGTTCCTATCAGTACAGTTGTAACTCTGGTGGAACAGTGCATGGTGAAATTTTATGTGACGGAGGGCGAGCAGGGCTGCTGCTCCTATGTGCGCAAAGTGCCCTGTGGAGCAGGACCTTCCCGGGGGCGGGCAGGCCTTTCCCTTTGGTGGACCGGCCAAGCCCCCCCAAGCTGGGGAGGACAGCAGGGCCAAGGCCATGATTACAGCCCCGTGCAGAGAACCTCTGTGCTTCCCGTGTTCACTGTGGGACACATAGATGCCACGTGTACGGTCACCATGTGCGAGGGGAACCCGCTGGCACCCTGACTGCCCTGGGCTCGGTCCTGCAGACATCCACAGGCTGGTCTCCCAGTGGCCTGGGGACCATAGCAAATGCAGGAGCTCTAGTCACCCGGTAAGTGCCGGGAGTTCTGCCAGTGATTTAGAATCCTTGACCTACTTCATTGTTACCATGAACCCACCAAGTATGTGTTATCATCCCATTTTGCAGATAGGAATCCCCAGAGATTAAATAACCTGCCCACGGTGCTGATACACCTGACCAGTGGGAGAGCTATGATGCAAACCCCTCCCCCACCGCCCCATGTCTGACTACACTCCTACTTTTTCCCCACTCACCTTAAACTGCTGACCCTCGTCCAGGGCCCAGAGCATCTCAAGTGAAGGGGATCTGTCTTACAGCAGTCCAAGGGGCTGCTATAACACAGGGCCAGAGACTGGGTGGCTTATGAAAAGCAAAAAATTATTTCTTACCATCCTAGAGGTGCTTCCCTGGTAGCTCAGATGGTAAAGAATCTGCCTGCAAAGCAGAAGACCCAGGTTTGATCCCTTGGTCAGGAAGATCCCCTGGAGAAGGGAGTGGCAACCCACTCCAGTATTCTTGCCTGGGAAATCCCATGGACAGAGGAGCCTGGCAGGCTACAGTCCATGGCGTCTCAAAGAGTCAAACACAACTGAGCGACTAACACACAGATTCTGGAGGTTGAGAAGTCCAAGGTCAATGTGCCAGCAGATTGTTTGTCTGATGAGATCCCACTTCCTGACTCATAGATGGCTGGATTCTTGATGGGTCCTTGCAGACTGGAAGGGGTGAGAAGGATCTCTGGTAAGTCTTTTCTGTCCTATCCATGAGAACCTCACCCTCATGACCTAAGCACCTCCCAGTGGCCCCACTTCCAAGTTTCGTTACCTTCAGGGCTAGGATTTCAACATATCAATTTTCAGTTCATTGCAAGTAGTCATTCTCAGGACTTCTTAAAAGACACTAGCAGATCCCCAGTTTGAGAACTGAATGGACTTCCAGCATTAAGCTTGCATGCTAGGACACGAGTTTTTGACTGCAGATCATCATTGCAAGAAGGAAGCTTGACTTTATGACTGTTGAAGATTCTTTTTTTGTAAAAGATCCAGGGGATCTTCCTGACCCAGGGATTGAACCTCAGTCTCCAGCACTGCAAGCAGATTCCTTACCATCTGAGCCACCAGGGAAGTTCATTAAAAGATCATCACAGAATGAGAACATGAAAGAACATATCAGACTCCGAAGCTGAGATCACGACCTCCTGTTCTGTGCCCCCATCCCCAAGGATCCTGCTCAGTTCAGGCTCCTGACCTTGCTGAGAGACTCCCCTAGAGAAATGCCTCCTTTCCCGGGTATTGTTAGAATCTAACAGGGAATTCTTGAAGTTAGCACTCAGTACCTAAAAGTATTAATCTATAAGGGAGGAATTTCTTGTACTGTGACAAGCAATGGAGAAATATTGTTAAGAGAAAAGTTCTTCTAGAATAATACCTTACCCACGCTTGAGGGGCTTCCCTGGTGACTCAGATGGTAAAGAATCGGCCTTCAAGGTGGGAGACCCAGGTTGAGAAGATCCCTAGAGAAGGGAAAGGCAACCCACTCCAGTATTCTTGCCTGGAGAATCCCATGGACAGAGGAGCCTGGCGGGCTACATTCTACGGGGTCACAAAGAATCAGACACGCACGACTGAGCGACTTTCACTTCACTCTTGAGGAAGACAGACTAGGCCAATAAAACCACTGAGGGTCAGAACTCTAGGTTCAGCCACAGACATGAAAGAATCAAAGTCATCCAACCCCCACCCAGGGGGTGAGTCCACTCAGGCCCTCTCTCCTTGCTGGCTTGGCCCCAGTGGCCCCAGGGACACGACCTGCTTCTCAAAGCCCTCTCTTCTGTACTGAAAACCTCCCACATCATGGAGGGCAACTTTGTGTCAAGGCTTGTGACTGGTCACAGTCACCCTTGTGACTGCCCTTCCTTAACTTCACCCCCATTCTTCCCAATTTTGCCCCAGGCGCTTCATCGAACATGCCTAGTCTCTCTGTCCCTGGAGGGTCCTTCCGATGTTTGGAGACAGACGTCATGACCATCCCCCAGACCCCCACCTTCACCTGCAGTTTTTTCCTCTGAGCCTCCACCTCTCATCCTTCAATTCCTCCTTGGGGTTCTTGTTCTGGGCCCTTGCCTTCAGGGAGAATTGGTGGGAGATAGACCCACATGTCCACACTGAGAACCACACAGCAGGGAATGGGGTATCCCCCGAGTCCCCAAGCACCTCTATGAAGGCACCTTCCCTCCATGGACCTTTTTGTCTCCCTTGCTTTTGAGGCAGCTGGGATTCTGAGCCTTTTTCATCCCCAGAGAGCTGTTTTTCTCTGATCTGATTCTCACAATGCTAAGTGACTTCCGTGAACGTCCAGTCAAGGGAAGTGCAGACAAGCCTATGTACTCCTTCTCTGTTGCTTACAGCAGAGTTCCCCAAACCTCACAGTGGCACACATTTATCGCCTCGGTTTCTCTGGGCATGGCCCAGCTGGGCACCTCTGCCCAGGTTCTCAGGAGGCTGTGGTCCAACTCTCGGCCCGTGGTGATAGCCTCATCTGAAGAATGAGACTTGGAGGCAACATGCGGGCGTCAGACCCTGGGCTGACAGTGCCCTGTGGGTATGATGGGGACCTGGCTGGATGGACCTAAGTCCTGGTCCCCTGGCATTCTCTGGGGCTTTGCTTGCATGCTCAGTCGTGTCTGACTCTTTGTGATCCCATGGACTGCAGCACGCCAGCCAACCCTGTCCATGCGACTTTCCAGGCATGAATACTGAAGTGGGTGCTGTTTACTGCTCCTGGGGATTGTCCTGACCCAAGGATGGAACCTCTGTCTCCTGTGTCTCATGCATGCAGGCATATTCTTTATCGCGTGAGCCATCTGGGAAGCCCCCTCGGGGGCTTTAGGCCTGATCCCAGAGAGGCAACAGAGAGCAGTGGCTTGAAGCGAGATCTTAGTTCCCTGCCCAGGAATTGAACTTGGGTAGTCTGGATAAAAACCAGGAATCCTAGCTGCTAGTCCACCAGGGGCTAGAGGCAGGAAGCAAAATTCCCCTGGCCCTTGCCCACCTCCACTGAAAAATGCATTTCTCAAGGAGGCAAAAACTGTAAAACCGCGTATGAAGTTTATTATTAGAGACACAGCACAACAACCGGGAGAGCGCACAGATCAACAGTGTGTTTAGTTAAGACGAGCAAGGCAGAGACACAGCGGAGAGAAAGGGTATGGGCGTCTCCCCTAGTGAGGAATGCAGTAAAGAGGCGGTCAAGACATTTATACAGGGCAGTTCTTCTGGGCCTTTGTTTATCTTTGGCCAATTATCTGATTTCTTTTTCTACAACTGACCTGCCCTAGGACCCTCCCCATGGAGAAGGCAATGGCACCCCACTCCAGTACTCTTGCCTGGAAAATCCCATGGATGGAGGAGCCTGGTGGGCTGCCATCTATGCGGTCGCACAGAGTCAGACATGACTGAAGCGACTTAGCAGCAGCAGCAGCAGCAGCAGGACCCTCCCCAGTATCCATGCACAACTGTTCTCTGGGATGGATTCCAGCCCAGAGGCCTATGGGGGAGCCTAGCATCACCTGCTATGGGGTGTTTCCGCCTTCTTTTTGACCCTCAGGGAGGCTTCCTGTCCATGTGCAGCATCTCCCTTGTCCCATGGAGGGGACACCTGTGACCTCTTGATCTTTCACTCAAACAGGGTTTAACCCTTCTCTGTCCCGCCGTAGCTGTTATCTTAAAGTATCCACAAGAGACAAAGCCTGGCTATTTGTCCTGTTTCTGTTATTATTTCTATTTCAAAGTACAAACAGGAGGATGATTGTAAATACCTAACCTGGAGCCTACTTACTTCCTGCCTCAGGAAATGCAAACAGGAGGCTAGTTGTTAAGTGTCCCACCTGAAGCCCATCAATCTCCTACCTCAGGCCCACTCACAAACGTCAGTTTGATGATTTTGCTTAACTATAAGATCAAACCAATCAATCCTAAAGGGAATCAACCCTGAATATTCATTGGAAGGACTGATCCTGAAGCTGAAGCTCCAATACTTTGGCCACCTGATGGGAAGAGCTGACTCACTGGAAAAGACTCTGATGCTGGGAAAGACTGAAAGCAAAAGGAGAAGTGGGCGGCAGAGGATGAGATGGTTAGATAGCATCACTGACTCAGTGGATATGAAATTGAGCAAATTCCAGGAGATAGTGAAGGACCGGGAAGCCTGGCTCACTGCAGTCCATGGAGTCACAAAGAGTTGGACACGACTTAGCTGCCGGACAACAAGAACATTTAAACATTTGCAGCAATTCTACTGGGATAGAAAAAAGAGACACTTTTGTTTCCTCTGGTCCTCAGTTTCCTTCCTCCCCACCTTTGCGCCCCCCCCCCCCCCCCAGTTCTGGGCTGTGGGCTGAATCTCCGTCTTTCTGCCAGAAGAAGGTCCCCTCTCTCCGCCTTAGATCTTGATAGCTGCTGTGGCAGGGGGTCATGGCAGAAACAAACCAAAAAGTCCTTAAAATGATGCCATGAGGAGAGATGAAAACCCATACTCTAAAACTTCTTCAAAAGTTATTAAAACTATACCACCTGAGGGCTTCCCAGGTGGTCCAGTGGTTAAGAATCCACTTGCCAATGCCGGGGACATGGGTTCTATCCTTGGGAACATCCCACATACTGCGGAGCAACTAAGCCCATGAGCTGCAAATACTGAGCCTGTGCTCGAGAGCCCAGGAGCTGCAACCACTGAAGCGCACGCGCCTCAGAGCCCATGCTCCACGGCAAGAGCAGTCGCTGCAATAAGAAACCCAGCACTGCAACCAGGAGGAGCCCCTGTCACTGCAACTAGAGAAAACCCACACGAAGCAACGAAAGACAGAGCCCAACCAAAATTAAGTGAATAAATAGTAACACTGATAAAGAAAGCGCAAGGAATGGCATATCGAGAGCCTAGGGCAGGGAGAACGGGTCACCCAAAGAAGTGAGTATTCCAGCTACTGCTGGGATTTGCAGGCATGGACAGGATCTTGATTGTTTAAAGGACAGAGAAGTTTGTCCCCATGAAGAAACCTGCGATAACTTGCTAAACCTTTCTTTGTGTAATAAGAACATTCCAGAAAAGCAACATAGAAATATCATTCTTATATACCCAGCCCTACTTTAAAGACACTGACTAGGTTTGCCTACAGATTTTTTTTTTTTTTAAAAAGTAAACACTGACAGTAATGAATACTTTCCGACCACTGATAACCTGCCAGGCCCTGTTGTAAAAATCGATCACTACTTTACCCCTCTCACCAACCTGACAAACAAGTATTATTAGTATTCCCATTGTACAGGTGGAGAAACTGAGTCATAAGAAGTCAAGTAACTCAAGCTCCACAGGCCAGACTGAAGCTTTATGCACCCCCAGCTCCCTGAAAACCCCAACACAAGACAACCACCTCCCTCTTTCCACAGGGGCCTTAAGGTTTTCTACCCAGAGTTGGGTAACATCGGCTGCATGATCGTTCCTGAATGCAACAATTACAGACAGAAGATCACTACCTGGCCCGAACCAATCGTGAAGTTCCCTCAGGCCCTGGAGGTGAGTGAGCTGACCTGGCTGGAGTGGGAGGGTCCCTCTGAGATCCAGGTGCCCTGAGTCTGCTTCTCTGAGTGACAGGAAACCATGTGCAGAGCCAGCTGAATCGGGTTTGGCGGTACCAGATGACTTGTTGCCATGAGCATGTGCCTCCTTTAGAGTAGCCCACTGCCTTGGAGGAGGTTGGGGTGGGTAGCAGGGGCTGCAGGCTGCGAGCTTTGGCATGGTTCAGGGGGTGCTCCACCCGGGGACTGGCCAGGGGATGCAGAGGGTGGCTTAGGAATCATCGGCAGGGACAATGAGCAGGGAGGGATCTATGGGGAGCTCTTTCTCAAGGTGGTTTTTGGAGTAATCTAGATGGGGAGGCCCTGATTTATAAGGAGCAGTGCTTCTCACCTGGGCTAAACAAGTGGAGGTCATCGCCCTTGACTCTTGGGCATCGCAGTATGAGACCCATTCAGAAGTTGGCCCCGACTTGCCCAAAATAAAAAAGAGAAACATGCTAGGAACTGGATAGAGCTATTCCTTTTTCTGGAAGATGATTGGTACCATCTTGTTCTGGAAGCTTCTCTTGGTCTGGGGTTGTGGTGAGCCCGGGAAGGGCGATGGGATGGGAAACAGACCTGCAGTCGTCAGGGAGGCTGCTCCAGGGCCTTAGTCGCCTTTTCTTTCTTCTTTGACTCCAAGCTGAGCTCCCAGGGTGTCAGGAGGCAGAGGGTAATCCTTGCTTTGTCTGCGGGTTGTAGTAGAAGGTGCCAATGTCAACCTAGGCACGAGGACTGTGATGTGTTCAGGACTCGAATGGGTGGAGACAGAAGGGTCACAGTCAGGATGTGACCATGGGCACACCTCTGCCAGCCTTCTGACCCCCCTGCGCATCGTGGCCGGGAGGGGGCACAGAGGGCTCCCGCCTCCGACGGCCCCGCCTGGGGGCTGCCAGCACAGAGCTGACAAGATGACAGGTTCTCGAGCGGGGGCTGCGAAGACTACTCGGAGACAGAGAGGGGGATTTTTCTTTTCTTTCTTTTCTTTAGCCATGGCTTGTGGCTTGCAGGATCTTAGTTCTCCGATTTGGAGATTGAGCCCAGGGCCCTGGCAATGAGACCGCAGAGTCGTGACCGCAGGACGGCCAGAGAATTCCTGAGAGTTTTTTCTTTCTTTAACTTTCACCATCAGGGAACAAACACTTGGTGGTCTGCCTCATAATTTCTGAGGCTGAGAACATGAAGCTTTGACAGGCTATTGTGTCTGCAGTGTTGACAAACATCCTTTCCTCTGGGGAGCTAAGGAAGCTAGTCATGACAGACTTCCTGGGTGCCCCCTTCCTCAGCCCCCCCAAGCCGGCCACACAGGCACACGCGTATGCATGTACACACACATGCTCACGCCAGCCCTCCCCGCCAGAAACCCTCCGCCTGGGTCATAACATAGATCGGTTGTGGGAGAAGGGGAGGAAACATAAGCCTCTGTGACTGTGACTCAGGGCGGGAGCCGGTTCCTCCACGGAAAGGTACAATGCCTCCTCCATGAGACAGGACTCTCGGCTTCACCCTTAACTCACTTGTTCTTAAGGAGTGAAGAGTTTGGACCAAATACTTTCAGAGCCCAATGACTGTCCCAAGAGGCAGTCTAAGCCAAGAGCGCCAATCCCAGTGATACCGCTCCATTCCATGTGATGTTGCTGTATGTGTCCACTAGATGGCAATGCAGACTTTCCTGAGTCCCTGGTGCCCTTGGCAGCAGCAAGATTGAAACCAGTCTGGGAAGCCTTTGCATTCGATTTGGTCTAGCTGGTACTGATGGTCCTTGGTCATGAACACAAAATGCAAAGAAAATATCACCGCCGCCAGATCCTGAAATCTCCCATCCTGCCTCATCCCAGAGTGGGGCAGGGGTGAAAACCTGGAGATTTACGAAGGATGCAGAGCTGTGGATAAGAAATCCAAAGAAAGCAGAGATTTCACAAAGGACAGTCTGGCCAAAGCGGTAGAAAGAAAGAAAGGAAAAGTAGAATTCTACTGCTAGAGAACTAAAGTTTACAGAAATCTGTCCTTTGAGAGGCAGGTTCAGCTAGAGTGTTCAAAACTACCACTCGTTGGATGGGACCCACTTTATGCTGAGCACTGTTCATGCATTATTTCATTTAATGTGCACATCAAGTTAAGTATTTATTTAGTCGAGAGTCGGTGGCAAGAGACGAAAGTCCACTCAAACTGGCTTGTGACAAGGAAAAAGAAGGAAGGCATTACTGGTTCACAAACTGAAAACTCCACGGATAACTTCAGGCGTGGCTGGACCCAGGTGCTCCATCAACACCACCGGGAAGCTATCTGTCCCTTTTCTCTACTTGTTTTCTCTCTGCTGGTTTTGTGTGTAAACAGACTGTTTCCTGTAATGACAAAGATGACTATCAGCTTCAGAGTTATGTCTTACTAGTTTATTAACCCACTGGATACAGATTGACCCCATCCAACCATTAAAAGGCCCCATGTTTGTCCTGCTTGGAGCTCGTGTTCATCCCCCACCCAAACAGTGATGCTGAGCACCCCATTTCCTCTACAAGGGCTGAGAGCAGAAGGGGATGGTACCCCCAAAGAAGCATCAGGGGGCAGGTTTCCAGAAGGGAGACAGGATATTGAGCAGGAGACACGAGAGAAGGTGCAGAGTCCCTTAGAAGTGGGGGCAGGGAAGCCCGAGTCCTTAGCGACAAAGAAGAGGACGAAGGCAATTCCTCTGGGCCCAGGGTCTGATGGAAAGGGGCAAGAGGTTGGTTGCCTTTCAAAGGTGATTAAAGCAGTTCCACCAAAGCAGCTTACAGGGGACATGCCCGGGAAGCCCACCCATGAAGCAAGCCATGAAGGCCTGGAAGGAGCAGCGCAGTGGACGGGGGACTAGGCTCTGTGCCCAGTAGACGTCTTCCGGCCTGCTCAGGCCCCTTCCCCAGACTTGGACCCTGTACTCCCGCACTCCCCACCCCTACCAAAATGCTTCCTCCTCTGAGAAGCTTTCCCTGACTGCATTCCTCTGAGTAATGCTTCCCCGCCACCCCCCCCCACCCTCCCAATCTTTGTTGGGTCTCTTCTTTCTCTGAGCATTTTTCACATCCCCTACCCTCCAAACCCAGCGTTTACTTCCCTCTGTCTTGTACTGTGGTTGCTTATGCATATCTCCTGTAGCATCAACTGATTTATGAGCTCTCAGAGAGCAAGACCATGTGTTGTATTTCTTTGAACTACCCACAGCCCCTACCAGCATCACAGACCCCATGTTGGCTGACTGGGTGGCCAGGTGGCCAGATGAATGAATGAAGGAAGGAATGCATGAATGGCAGGTGGACGGACACATCTCTTGGAGCATCAGCTCTGAGGTGTGGGAGCCCAGTGGTTTGTGCTTCAAGCTGCCGTGTATCCTGGGGCCTCGGCAGAACCCCAGGCCAGCATTAGTCTCTCCCCTACCAGGATAGGTGGGCGGCTGGGGGTGGGTAGGAGGAAGCAGAGAGAGAAGAGAAAATAGGGTGGGCCCCCTAAAAGGCAGAGTAGTGCAGGAAAATAGGCTGGTGTTAGTGCCAACAGCCACAGAGAGCGGAGAGAGGTGAAGAAACAAGAAACTCCCCTCCCCTGGTGTTCTGACAAACATTCAGAGGCAAACATCTTAAAACGCCTCCCCTTCTCGAGCCAATGAAGACCGAAAAGCCCCTGAGAAGCTTCTTGACTGTGGCTTATTCTTCACCTTGAATTTAAACAGCTGGAATCCTTTTGAAGGGAAGAAATTGCCTTTAAGTGGGGAGTGTGCATTGCATTAGAGGGAAGGAACACAGACTGCAGCCGTCCTTCTTGCGGGCCCTCGGCTTTCCAGTCTGTTCTCCTCCCCAGCGAGCCAGTGACCTTGAGTGTCCTCCCCCCGGGCTGAGCAGGCATGTCCCCATGTCACCCAGGGCCTACAGCATCTGTGTGGTTGTCTTTTGGGGACCACCTCCTTGCCTTCATCGGCCAAAGGCAGAGACACAAGTCTCAGCACAAATCTTACAGAGCCCTGGACATCTGGAGACATGCGCGTGTGGGAGAGTCAGAGGCCATTCTCGATGAAGGAGGCCTTGGTGCTCCCCAGCCCACTGCCTACCCCTCTTCTTCTTCTAACTTTTTACTATGTACTGTAATACAGCCGATGAACAAGGCTGTGATAGTCTCAGGTAGACAGCAAAGGGACTCAGCGTACATACACATGTATCCACTCTCCCCACAAACTCCCCTCCCATCCGGGCTGCCACATAACACTGGGCAGAGTTCCATGTGCTTTTACAGAAGGTCCTTGTTAGTTATCCATTTTAAATATAGCCATGTGTACACGCAACCATAAGTTCATTCTCTAAGTGTGTGAGTCTTTTTCTGTTTTGTAAGTAAGTTCATTTGTATCATTTCTTTTTAGATTCAGTATATAAGGGACGTCACACCATGTTTCCCCTTCTCGGTCTGACTCACTTCACTCAGTGTGGCCTTCTCTAGGTCCATGCAGGTTGTTGCACATGGCATCATTTCATTCTTTCTAATGGCAAATATTCCTTTGCATACATCTCACACCTTCTTTATCCGCTTATCTGTCCATGGACATTTAGATTGCTCCCATGTCTGGCTACTGTAAACAGTGCTATGATGAACACCGGGGTGCGTGTATCTTTTCAGATCCTGTTTTTCTCTGGATATGTCCCCAGGAGTTCCCCAGAGCAGAAAAATAGGAGCCGCTGCCGTCCTGTAATGACTAGGACACAGGGCTGCCGACTCCCAGGCGCAGATCCTCCCGGCTCGTTTTCGAAAAGATGCTGAGAGGGAACGCGCCCACATGCAGGGGGCAGCCAAGCCCAGGTGCTCCTGGGGCAGTGGCCGGTGCACAAATTGTTGAACCACAGGCACCCTGTTAGTGTTGCAAACTCAAAGATAAACGTCACCGGCCCTGAGCTCCCAGCCTAAGGTGGCGAGACAGACAGACGCATGGAGGACATGCATCCA